GCAGCACGATTTTTCACGCGATTTGATCGGCCGCCCAAGTAAAGAGGATCAGCCGATATCGGGTAGGGTGTGCGCGTTCAAATTTGTAGACGATTTTACTTAGCGATGATTTTATGCCGGTGATGGCGTTCGCAAATCTAAAGACAGTTTGACGTTTTGAACCGGACTTATTGTTGAAGCGATTTTTGTGTAAGTCCGACAGATGTTTGTGGTGTGGGCGCGTGAACCTCTCTACGGGATAAATTACTTGATCAGGCCAATAGCTGACGTGCCCGGTGTCACATGACATTCAAGAATGGCGCCTACGCATAGAACAAAGCGTAGACGATCGAAATTGAGGGAGATTTTAAAATAATCAATTTTTATCGTAAGGTGTGCTAGGTGTTTATCGGAAAGGACGGCGGCGATTGGAGCCGAATTTTACAAAAACGATGAGAGAATTTTTTATGCGCACGGCGATTTTTGTAGGTGTGGCGACGGCGCATTTTAGTCTACTCTGTCTGATCAAGCCGCGACTGTGACATTATCCTTCTCGGCCGTGCCGGTGCCTGAGCAATGCTGTGGCAACCGTTAGCGTCACCGAGTATTGACGCCTAACAGCGAATCGTTATCCATATAACAGACGAAGTAACACTCGATGGCGCCATATTGCATCAAAGCGCAGAATTGCTTCGCGCTAATAGTTGGCGGGCGCCTTGTAATGGCGAGTCACAGACTATATAGCGCGTTAGAGCGCGTCGCCGCGCATGTACGCTATATGGCTAGGCAAGCCGGCATGACGTGCCCACGTGGTGGCGTCGTGGCGTGAGGTGCGCCGGTTGATTTTTCGCCTCTCGGTGTAGTCGCAATGGATGTTGAACAGAAGTTCCTTTTTCCTTGCATCCATTTCAGCCGGCCTCATGTCTCCACATCACTTATGACTTCGGCTTAATTTCTCTCGGAAGCGAGAGGTTAAGAACATAGCATGACTGAATTTCGCCAGGGCAGTGCTCTAAGTATGGCGTTTTTGAGTATTCCCAGTTTTGAATTTTTATGCATGAATTTCACTCAGGAAAGCTCGGTCGGGGAAAATGAGGGCTTCCGAGAGTAGCGTTATCGGTGACCGTTTTTTTAGGGCGGATCAGGATTCTGTTTTTGGCATTACTACGCTTGCCCTCCTGCATCTGTATCGCGCTCTTAACGACATCCTGACCACGTGACTACTTACTGCAACTGCAACGCTGAGGCTCTCTATAGGCGATGTATGTGTGTCTGCGCGAGGGTGATTGCGTGCGTAGCTGTGGTGCGTGCTTGCCGCGTGCGGCTGCACGCGGAGCGTGAAGTGTGAGCGGGCGCAGTGTATCACGGGTCGAGAGGGTTGACGTGGCTGTCCTAATGATTTCACGATCCAAGAGTGCATAATTTGGCTTGTGTCGCAGCGGCATGACCACAATAGCGAGGTCAAACTCGTTTGGCCCCAAGTCGATGGCGAATCAATCCGCTTCATTCCCGGCGCGCTCCTGCACGGTTATTAATGGTCAGCTAAACCGCTGATATATATGAGTAAGCTATTGCATAATCAGCTGCTAGCCGCAGCCGACAGCGAACAGACGGTCAGCGTGACGGTCTCGTAGACCTCTAGTTTGTGAACACGCGCTACATCGCATCACGTCTAAATGATTTTTTTTTATTACGGGAGAAAGGAATGATACACGTGAGAGAACACGGTGTGAGAGAGATAGGATGAAGAGAGCGGAGGCGAGAGAGGAAGAGCGAGAGCGAGCCAACAGCTAGGAGAGGGGGAGACAGAGAGATAGCGAGAGAGAGAGAGAGAGAGACAAACAGAGAGAGAGAGAGACGAGAGAGAGAGAGAGAGAGAGAGGAGAAAGAGAAGGAGAGAGAGAAAGAGAGAGAGAGGAGAGAGAGAAGAGAGAGAGAGAGAGAGAGAGAGAGAGAAAGAGAGAGCGAGCGAGAGAGGAAGAGCGAGAGCGAGCAACAGCTAGAGAGGGAGAGACAAAGAGATAGCGAGAGAGAGAGAGAGATAGACGGGGATTATAGAGAGACAGAGCAGATGAGAGAGAAGAGAGAGAGAGAGAGAGAGAATGAGAGAGAGAGAAGCGCGAGCGACGAAAGAGAAAGAGAGAGAGAGAAGAGAGAGAGAGAGAGAGAGAGAGAGAGGAGCGAGCGAGCGAGAAATAGAGAGATGGAGAGAGAGAGAGAGAAAGAGAGAGCGCGAGCGAGCGTGAAGATAGAGAACGAGAGCGCGAGAAAAGAGTGGAGAGAGAAAGAGAGGGAAGATGAGAGCGAGAGCGGAGAGGGGAAGAGTGAGAGTGCGAGAGAGGGAGAGGGGAGGGGAGGTGTGAGGAGAGAGAGAGAGAAGAGGAGAGCAGAGAGAGAGCGAGGAGCGAGAAAGAGGAGAGAGAGAAAAGAGAGAGAGAGAGAGAGAGAGAGAGAGAGAGAGAGATGAGAAGAGAGAGAGAGAGAGAGAACGAGAGATGAAGAGAAAGAGTGAAAGCGCACCGGAGAGAGAAACATTATCTGAATCGCTGCGACTGAGGTCTGCTGACAAACCCCCACTGAGTGAGGCAGCTTCCGCGCAATGTAAGCTCTGCCGCTGTCGCCAAGCCAGCACACACACGACGCGCAGCAACCGTAAAGCAGCGAACGATCAGAACAACAAGCGAACCTTCAATTAATTCCCTTTTTCGTCCTTTTTCGGGCGGCCGCAGCCGACTAAGTCCTCACGTGCTGAAGGGTTATATAGCAGAGACCGCGGCGCGCGGCGTGCGGCGGCGGCGGAACCATAAAGTCCCGAACGCTTTGGCTCTAACGCACGGAGGGGGAGGGTAGGGGAGGATGAGGGGGAGGAGTAGCAGAGGAAAGGGGAGGGATTGAGAGGAGAGAGGGGGAGGGGGAGGATGAGAGGGAGATGAAGAGCGGAGAAGAAGAGGATGAGGGGCAGGAATGGTGGGAGATGAGGAGAGTAGGGGAGGATGGGAGAGAATGGGAGGAGATGGGGCGGGGGGGAGGAAGTAGGGGGGAGGGGAGGAGTAGGAAGGATGGGAGGAGGAGTAGGGGAGAGTAGGAGAGTAGGGGAGGAGTAGGGAGGATGAAAGGTGGAGAGTAGGGGGGAATGAGGGGAGGATGAGGGAGAGTAGGGAGAGGATGGGGAGAAGTAAGGGGAGGAGAGGGGAGGAGTAGGGGGAAGGAGTAGGGGAGGAGGGCGTGGGGAGGTTGGAAGGGGGTCAGGGGTAGGAGGAGAACTTGAGGCGGAAGCGGTAGGTGGAGGACGGGGAGGATGAGGGAAGGAGTAGGGATAAGGCAGAGGAGTAGAAGAGGAGGGAAGGGAGGCGTAGGGGGAGAGCGGGTTGGTATGGATACAGGGAATCTTGCCCATGAGCTAGCATCCGTATTAAAAACCGGCGCGCAGTTTTATATTGATTGGGAGAATATAGATAATAGACTAGTAAAGGATAGGGCGAGAGAAGAGAGAGAGAGAGAGAAGAGAGAGAGAGGAGAGAGAGAGAGACAGAGACAAAGAGAGAGGACAGATAGAGAAGAGAGAGAGGGAGAGAGAGAGAGAGAGAAAGAGAGAGAGAAAGAGAGAGAGAGAGAGAGAGAGAGAGAGAGAGAGAGAGAAGGGGAGGAGGGAGGGAGGGGGAGAGAGAGAGGGGGAGAGAGAGAGAGAGAGAGAGAGAGAGAGAGAGAGAGGAAAGAGAGAGGGAGAAGAGAGAGAGAGGGAGAGAGGAGAGAGAGAGAGAGAGATTGAGAGAGAAGAGAAAGCGCAGTCGAGCGCAGTAGATGTCTGCCTGCCCTCATCCGACGCCCCTGCTATTGAGTCAACTTCACTTCAATTTCAGAAAGGCTTGTGTATGAGAACGAGGGTCTGCTAGAGCTAGCAAGTAGAGCTAATAGGTTATAGTATTGAGTGCTGGAAATGCTAACTAAACCTACAAACGTAGGAAAATCGTCTGCGTTCAAAATTTTCTCGAAATTCTGTCAATACTTCATGACTACGATATTTTATTCTGTTTACATCTTACATTTATCTCAGGCCACACGCCACGGCAAGAGATAGCAATACGAGACGTATCCAAGTCACAAACCACCAACCACAGGAATTGCGCATTAGGAAAATGCTATCTGATTATTCACTCATCCCGTTCGGTGTAGATTATTTTTAGATGGCTAATTATCTAATATTGATATCATTAATTATAAAGAAAAGCAGCATGCACAGACAAACGTGCCATCAAGACTAGCAAACTCTTACAAATTTAATACACGATTATGCATTTGTAATTTTTGTATACTTCTGCCATTCAAACGCATACAATTCGATGATCTCCCCAAACTACCAATAATCAAGCTTTACTCCCACATAATCAAGCATTTGTAACCAACTGCGGGAACGTACGAACATGTTACTCTTCCCAGCCCCGACGAGGCTCTTACGACTGTACAACGTCGTAGTGAGTAAACCGAAAAGGTGGACGACCCAACCCAAACCGTTATTCATTAAAATCAAATAATTAATTAATTTCCCTAATCAAAAATCTTAATCATAACCCTAAACCCATTACCCGCCATTATTTACATGAATCCGCATCTCGGTTGACGGGTACTACGTGTACATGTATTGTGTACTGCGTACTATGTACTATGTACTATGTAATGTGTACTCTGTACTGTGTACTCTGTTCTCTGTACTGTGTACTATGTACCATATAATGTGTACTGTGTACTATGTACTATCCTACGTGGTATTGTATGGTGTAGTAGTACTGTGAACTGGTTACTATTACTGTGTACTTTAGTACCGATGTAAATTGTAGCGTGTTAACTTGTACTGGTACATGCACTATGTTATTGTGTACTGTGTACTATGTACCATGTAGTGTGTACTGTGTACTATGTACCATGTACTCTGTACTGTGTACTATGTACCATGTAATGTGTACTGTGTACTATGTACCATGTATGTGTACTGTGTACTATATTGGGTACTATGTGTGACTTACCGTGGACCTGGCTTGGGTTTCTTGCCTGCCTTAAACTCATCCAGAATCAGCTCAGCATCCTTCATCGTCAGGTCCTCCTAGAAAGCAAGCAGAAAACCTTCCGTTATTTACATCCGCGTCTGGCATGTGTCCACACGCGTACGCACGAACGCGCGCACGCACGCACACA